CAAAGCTTTCTGATTTTCTCCATTTTAAATGATAACATTGAAGCATATCATAAGTGGCTTGCTCAAAGTCTCACAGAAAGTCAGTAGCCAGGTTAACAGTAGAACTTAGGTAGCCCAGCTCCCTGTCCAGAGTTTTAAGTTTGAAATTACCAGTGATTTGAAGTTGCCACATTAATAAGGGCCATCCAATAGCTGTAATTCTGTTGAGAGACAGTTTATCTGGCCTTCTTATGTTTATGAAAGGTTTTGAATCTGTATTTATGACAGATTTAAAGGAACTGTATATTAAAGTTTTCTTGTGAAAAATAGCTAGAAAAGTAAAACTTTCTGGTAAGACCAGGAATTCACATCTCTCATGATAATCGGAATTATGAAGAATGTATGAAAACAGATACTTTATCTTATGAAAATGGTAGTATCTTGATTTCTGAATGCATTTGGATCTAAGTACATTATTAAGTCTGGGATTTCATACAAATGAAATTCTAAAGTTGCATGTATAGACATTATTTAAGAGTCATTCTCAAATTTAACAATTTAAACTGGTATAAAATATATTTATACTAAAAATAATTGGATTTCCTTACATTAACTAAGGATCAAACAATACTTTTGCATTTTCACTTCTAGAGATAAAAGAAGGAGCTGAGCATTCTTTAGTGGGTTGGTTCTTAGGGGATTACTTAGGAAGATTTTGTTAGTGTTTTCCTGAGAGGTACTCCAAGAATTTATATCTCCCTCGTGATAATCAGAATTATAAAGAATATATAAAAGCAGATACTTTATCTTATGAAAATGATAGTATCATGATTTCTCAATGCATTTGGTTGTAAGTACATTATTAAGTCTGGAACTTGATACAGATGAAATTCTAAAGTTGCATATATAGACATTATTCAAAAGTAGTACTATGGTATTTTCACTATGTTATTAGGACCTAATTTTATATTATTCTGCGAATAGTAATGAAGAGCAATACAAAGAGTTTTAGATGTAGGCGGTTATACTAGTAGCCTTTAAAGAGTGAAGAAGTCCTTCAGTGGGGACGTATGACAGTCTCTTGGGGGAGGGGTAGTGAGCACTGAATCGCATGAAACACTGTCAGAGTGACAATCATGATGACAGCCACCTGAGATTATCCCATCATGCTTTCCAAATTGC